TAATATAAAGAATTAAATTTTATATAAAAAAAAAAAAAATTTATTTCACCAATCGTTTCCATCATCGTCCCTATTAATGGAAGAATTTAAATTTGTAAAAAGTACATCTTTTACTTTCGGCTTTGGATCTTCTTCTATTTCAGTAGGCACTGCTCCTGCTTGTCCCAAAATCCATTCTAATTCTAAATATGGTAAAATTTTTGTTAGATAATTTATTCAAGTGAGGGTCACATGTAGAAAAATAATGAGAGCATAAAATTTAATTTACCATCACAAGTCAGATTCATTCCTCTTAATTCGATAGGTCCCACCAATTGTTGTTTTAATTCCCCTTCGAAATAAATAAATACTGTTGGCAAATTTTTATCTGGATAATTTGGTATGCATGTTGTTGATATACTTTTAATAAATTTAGTAGCCGGAAATTTTCTTGATAATTTCGACAAATACTGATTTATTAAATTACATAAAGGTATTCTAAAAAAAAAAAAAAAAAAAAAAACAATTGTTAAATTATAAGGAAAAAAAAAAAATATATAAGAAATTGATCTTACTCAAATTTCAACAAACCCTTGTTTATATAAATGAAGCACTACCCAAACTCCTTCTCCAGCTTTATTAACCTCATTGACATAATCTTGAGCAGTGATTTCGCTAACTTCTCCATATTTTGCTTTTTCCGCTAATGCTTTTATTTCAGCAATTCTTTTATTTCTATATTCTAATAAAATTTTTTCATCTTCTTCATCTTCTAATTCATCAAGTTCATCTAAATTTAATTCCCCTAATGATTTTTCATTGTCTCTTTGTTTTTCTTTAATTGTATCTTCAACTAATGAAATGAGTTGATCTTCAGTTACCTCTTTTTCTTTTGGAGGTAAAATTCCTTTAGATCGAAGAATGTCATTCCATTCAGTATCTTCGTTTGGATCCTTTAACACGTGTTAAGAAAAAAAAAAAAAATAAAGTTTTGAAAAAAAAAAAAATACATTTTGAATGAAATGTTATGTGCATAAATGATAATAAAGTACCAGTTCTTCTGATTATACAAAATTAATGGGTGAATAACTAGTCGTGACTCACCTCCATATAAGGTAATTTTTTAAATTTTAAATTAAATGATTAATTACCTGCATTTTAAATATTAATTAATAAACTGATATTTGAATAACTTAAAATAAACAAAAAATTGCGATTAAAAGTTTTGTTTTTATTTAAAAATATCGCAAATTTATTTTTGTGCAACAAGTTTTGAAACCCATATAAGTTTACTAGCAGAAGACACTTAATTATTGAACCAAATGTCGTACGACGATTTACGTGGAATTAAGTAAACGATGTAAACTATGAATTTTTTTTACTGGATTATTTTTTTAATATTTTTTAATAATTATAATATTTTTGTGGATGGTAATAGAACAGAAATAAGACAAGGTTTACTTGTTGATTCTTCGTTTAATGTTATTTAATTTTTTTTAAATTTTATTTAAGGATCAATATATAAAAACTTAAAAACATTCCACATTTTTCATGCTGATGATATAACACATACAATAGTGAAGAGGGGGATAAAACAAAGCGATCATCCATTTAATGTTATAAAAGAAGTTAAATTTACAACTCTCAATAAAGAGTTCAGACTTATTTTGACTCCTAGAAAAGATGTTATTCATTCAAAATTCAAAGCATACACAGTGGATGCTGATGGAAATGAAACTCCATTTCATGTTGGTAAGAATTTTAATGTCAACTGTCATTATTCATAATAAATTTTATTTTTATGCTAAATGAATTCATTTTTTAATGTTTTGATGTTGACTTAAAATGTATAACCTTTGCACCTTGACATTTAAATAATTTTTATTTTTCTCATAGTGTGTTACATGAATTAAATAATTTATAATATTATTTCTTGCAGATCATGACAATTTTTATCATGGTAGAGTTTTCGGTGAAGTAGTATCACATGCACATGTTCATATCGATGATGGGGTTTTAACAGCTTCAATACATTTCGAAGATGAAGTGTATCATATTGAGGTGATTTTTATATTTCACTTTTTAATTTTAATTGAAGTGACTTTTAATTAAATTTTTGAATTTTTAGCCAAAATGGAGACATCTTCCAGATGTAGATAATCGTTCTATGATAGCATATAGAGCATCAGATGTTAAATTTAGTTGGGATCAAAATTTAAATGATTACAGTGAAAAAAATTGGCCAAGAACTTGTGGTTATGTAAAAGAAGAAGTAGATAAAGAGCTTAATTTAAATAAAAATAAAAATGACATAAATGATGATGATTTCGATGATGACAAAGAAGAAGAAGAAAATACTAAAAGTTATTACACTAAAAATCACACAGAAGCCAAATCTAGAAAAAAGAGACAAGCTGATCAGTATGAATACACACCTTCTAAAACAAGATGTCCGTTACTGCTTGTCGCAGATTACAGATTTTATCATGAAATGGGTGCGGGAAATACTAAAACCACCATTAATTATTTGGTAAAAAAATTAAATTATCAAAAATTAGAAATCAAATTATGTGTAAAGAATTTTTTTTAAATGTTGTTTTTTATCATCAGATAAGTTTAATTGATAGAGTGCATAAAATTTATAATGATACAACTTGGCAAGATAGAAATGAACAAGATGGATTCAAGGGAATGGGATTTGTGATTAAAAAAATTGTCGTTCACTCGGAGGCAACAACCGTTAGAGGAGGAGAATTACATTATAACATGGTTCGAGATAAATGGGATGTTCGTAATCTACTCGAGGTAATTATTATTGTTTCAGACTAATTTTTACTTTTTTTTTAATGTCTTTTATTGTCTTCTATATTTTCTAAAGAAAAGTTATGAATAATTATGTTTTTTTCTGGATGATAAAGTCAAACAATCAAAGTTAATAAGTCTGAAAAAATAAAAAACAAACAATTTAATCATACCTGAGTAAAAATTATAAAATGATTTGAATTAAATTAGGTATTCAGTTCGAACAAGGAAAATCAAAATTATTGTCTTGCACATCTATTCACACACCAAACATTTCGAGACAGGAGAAGTTCGGTTTTAGGACTTGCTTACATTTCTTCTCCAAGATCTTATTCCGTCGGTGGGATTTGCTCAAATGGTTAAATTTAGTTTATTAGTTCGGTTTTTCGGGTGGTTTTTCTCTCTCTCTCTCTCTCTCTTCTTTTTATTTTGTCGCCATTCTTACACATAACAAAAACTCTTTATTAAAACTTTATAATATTATTATTATTATTGCTTTGCATAAAAGGAATAATTTTTAAAATGTTCAGGTTTTTAGTCGAGAGTACAGTCATAAAGATTTTTGCTTGGCCCATCTATTCACCGATTTGAAATTTGAAGGTGGTATTTTGGGTTTAGCTTATGTTGGATCTCCAAGACGAAATTCTGTCGGTGGGATTTGTACTCCAGGTGATGGTGTTAACCTGCTTTTTTATAATTATCTTTGCTTGTTGGAAAAAATTTTTTATTATTTGATTTTGCTTCATTTATTATTTATAGTACTTTTGGATTTTTTTAATTCACTAAAAGTATTTGTATTGTTTTGGCATGATGTAAATGTAAGTAAATGTAAATTTTAAATTTTTTTTTTTTTTTTTTTTTTTTGGAATTGGGCAACAGGAATGAAGAAAGACAAACATTTGTCATACTTTTATCTAGCTGTTAAGTTTGTTTTTAATAATAATTTATTATCATTATTAGTGTGGGGAAAAAAAATATGGCATGACATTTTTTTTTTTGACTTCTTTACAATTAGAGCATGGTTTATAAAATGTTTTTTTTTTATATAAGATTAAATGATTGTAAGAAAAATTTAGTTTAGTTTAGTATTGGTATTTTATCCCATAATGTTTTTTAGTAATTTATTTTGTGCAGTTTATTTTAAAGTAATAGAAAATACTCTAATTTGACATTATTGGAAAATATATTGATTTATTAAAATGTTTCATACATTTCAGAATATTTTAAAAATGGATACACTCTCTATTTAAATTCCGGATTAAGTTCCAGTCGAAATCATTACGGGCAAAGAGTGATTACCAGGGAGGCAGATTTGGTTACAGCCCATGAATTTGGACATAATTGGGGATCCGAACATGATCCCGACATAACAGAATGCAGTCCCAGCGCTTCACAGGGTGGATCTTATTTGATGTACACATACAGTGTCAGCGGATACGATGTTAATAATAAGGTGGTGTTACTTTGGTTTATTTGTCGAAATCATGGAAAAAAAAATATATTTTGTGACGTATTATTTGTTTATTTTTTAGAGATTTTCACCTTGTAGCTTACGGTCGATTCGTAAAGTTTTACAAGCCAAGTCGGGAAGGTGTTTTTCAGAACCGGAAGAATCGTTTTGTGGAAATTTAAGAGTGGAAGGAGATGAAGAATGCGATGCCGGTCTCATCGACGACGACGATCCATGTTGCGACAAGAATTGCAAGTTGAGACGAAATCAAGGAGCCGTTTGCAGCGATAAAAACACGCCCTGTTGTCAACATTGCCAATTCATGATGGAGGGTATTAAATGTCGGGAAGCTCAACTGGCAACTTGCGAGCAAGAATCCAAATGCACGGGAACTTCGGCCGAATGTCCCAAAAGTCCGCCGATGATGGACAAAACCGTTTGTTTGGAAAAGGGTCAATGCAAAGATGGAAAATGCATTCCTTATTGTGAAACGAAAGGTCAACAAAGTTGCATGTGCGATGACTGTAAGTTTTCTTTCTTTTTTATTACGTTTCAAGATTATAAAATTAATTATTTAGAAACCATTAATCTATCATCTTAAAATGATATAGTGTGACAGTGTAACGGTGACATTTGAAATTTTTTAGATTACCTATCAAAAGTCGAGTGTGTAAATTCATGAAATTAGGTTTTCAAGGTCAAGTTATTATTCGTCTTTATGAAAAACTCCTCAATTCTTTTGCAAATTTAGTCTAGATTTTTTTTTACATAAAAACCATAGGTCCCATTTTTACGTCGCCATATTGAAAGGCAAGATAAAGTCGTTAAATATTAATTTGCAGTGGTTAACGCTTGCAAAAGATGTTGTCGAAATCATTTAAACGATACGTGCGCTCCAGATAGTAGCCAAGATATTCTGGGCGATGGAACGCCATGCGTTCAAGGTTTTTGCATAAAGGGATATGCGAAAAAACCATTCAAGACGTCGTGGAAAGATTTTGGGATATCATAGAAGAAATAAACATAAACAAAGTAATTATATTTTTGAGGGATAACATTGTCGGGGCAACAATCATCGTGTCAGCTTTAATTTGGGATTCCGGGCTAGTTGTTTAGTAAGTCCTTTCCCTTTTAAAATTATCTATTTTTCCCCCCTCCCCCTCCCCATCGTCGATTAATTTCACGAGTTGAAATTTTTTTATTAACGTAAAGGTGAGTTATTTCGATCGACGTAGGAGAAGAGAAATATTGAGGAGACAAGAATGGAACAAACGTAACGAATTATTACATCCCTCCGACAACAGACGTGTGATTAGAACGGTCGTGCCCGCCAAAAGATCATGAAAATTAAAAAAATTTTTCATCGTAGCGGTAAAAACAAAAATGGCGTGTGGCAAGTGTGAAAACGCTAGTGAAGTTGTCTCGTGTTTATTTTATGTGTTTATAACTTTTTTTCAATGATTTTTTCTACTCATCGAAGATTCTTTTTCGATTTCGACAAAGAAGAAAAAGAAAACAAACAAGTAAGAAAAAAAAAAAAAAAAACAATCATTTTAATATAATTAACTTATTGTAATGGTTGGTTTACCAAACAAATTACCAAACAATGTAAAAAAAAAAAAAAAAATAACTAAATCACGTTTACTTAATTGAAAAAAGACAGAGAAAGAGAGAGAGAGGGAGAGAGAGAGAGAGACGTTTGTAAAATTTACTCAAGTTATTTAAAAATGACAAATTTTTTGTTAAAAATTGTAAAAACAAATTTTAAACTCTTACATAGACTCGATTAAAAATTTTTTTTTTTTTTTAATTATTTATCGACGTTTAATGATGAAACATTATATTATTATGTTTTTAATATAAAAATAATTATTTTAAACGGTTGAATCATTCCATTTAATGCATGCAATTACTTATCTTTATAAGCACAAATTGTCTTTTTTTATTTAAAGAAAAAAAAAAAAAAAAAACCGAACAAAGAAATTCCAAGAAATGATTTTAAATTATCATTGAAAGGGAAAACGTAAAAAAAACGTTTTTTTTTTTTTTTTTCATTATTATTTCGTTTATCATTATTATTATTATTATTATTATGAATATTATATTCAAATGATGTAAAATCAATCACGTGATTGATATTCATTAATTTGTATGACATATTAATCGGACTCTTATAGAATGATAAAAAAAAAAAAGTTAATAAAGAATTACAAGGTAAATCCGTATAAGTAGATATTTATTATAATAATAAACATTGGCCTAATTTTTTATAAATAATTCGGTTATGCATATTTTTTATTAATTAATAAAATAATAGGGCCCTTTATAAAATAAATAAATAAATAAAAAAATGAATTTTTTCCCTCCCCCCCTTTTGATGAATTAATAACTTAAAACATACGCAAGGTTTGTTGATTTACATTGTGTGTGTGCCTGTGTATTTTTATATCTTTTTAAATTAATAGAAAATTATTAATGACGTCACACTCTTTATTATTATTATTATGTGAATGGTTTTCGTTATTTATGTGAAAAAATTATTAAAATACCTTGAAACTTATTAATGATACTTTTTTTTAGGAAAAAAAAAAAAATTTATTTAATAATATTTTGATGTCATTAATAAAAACACACGAAATATTTTTCTCGTACCTCGTGATAATAATAATAATAATAATAGGCAGGAAAAATTTTCTTTAGAGAAAAAAACAACCTTCGATAATAATAATAATAATAATATTTTTTTTCAATTAATACTCGCAAATTTTCCAAACAAAATGTTAATGTTAATGTTAACCATTTAGAAAAATTTTTTTTTTGCGTGAGTTTTCCAAAATTTATTTATTTATTTATTTATTTATTTATTATTAACAACATTTTGAGTCGATGATTTTTTTTTTTTTAATTTTATTAAATAAATATTAACATCTCTGTAATGTTGATGTTGTTCAGACATGGGTATAACGGTCAAATTAAAATCTTGACTCACTTCGTCGATAAATTTCCGCCATATTTCATTTTGATTTTCCGAATGATTTCTTTTCTCTTGCGTTATGTATATATCAGTGGAAGGCGTCGAAAGGTTTTTCAGCGTTTTAACGAAACCTTCAACGGACTGAAAATAAAAAAATTTTATTTTTTTAAAATGTTAATTGAGACATGTGTGGAACGAACGTTGTTATTGTTTTTGTCATAAAAAATTTTAAGAGAATCTTATTATAGAACCGAAAAGTGAAAATGATAAGAAATTTAAATTGTGACACCACCGGCTTTTTTTTTTTTTTTTTTTTTTAATGTGATACAATAATTAGGTCTTTTACGGTGTATTAAATAAGTCATTTATGGTATCTTATCATTAAAAAAAAAAAAAAAAACAATGGCGTAAAATATTTGTATTGTTTTTAATAAGCCACGTTTCTGTGTTTGTGTATGTTTACTCACTTCTTTGTAATAAATGCAATCAGACGCAAGTATGACATCGCATGGCTCCAGTTTATTTTCTTCAATCCAATTTAATTTTTCCACCCACGCTTTACCTTTTCCCTTTTCAATAATTTTTTCATTTTTTTTTACATTTAATTTTAAAAGTGGTAAAGCTTCCGATAGATCTGTCAAAGTCACGAATCCTCTGTAAAAATGGATAGGTTTGTTGAAAATCCATCTCTCTCTCTCTCTCTCTCTCTCTCTTCGAGTTAAAAAAAAAAAAAAAAAAAATCTCACCCGTAAAAAGCAGCAACCATACCAACGCAACCCAAACCTGAACCTAATTCGATAATATTTTTTCCCGTTAGGAAATTTTTTCCCGAACAACAAATTTTTTCGAGATATTTTCCGAGTACCAATGCAGCATCCCAAACAACGCAATGCACGTCACCTTTTCCCTTCTGCACCAGGTATATGATTCCCTTTCCATTTTCCAATTCGTATTCCCGTATGAAATCCTCATCATCCTCTTCATCCTGAAAAAAACCCATCAGTGGACTTTTTTTTTTTTAAAATAATCAACCTCAGAAGGAGGAGGAGGAGGAGGAAAAAAAATTAATAGCCTATAAAATTTTTATGATTAAAATAAGGAAAAACTACTAAAAGGAAAACTCGCCATTTTTTTTTTACAAAAAAAAAAAAAAAAAAAAAATTTGTTAATTTTTTATTTCAGGTATAAAAATGTAATCATGTGAATTAATTCGTGACTTAACAACAACAGGAATTAAACAACAAATTAATAATAATAAACTCTATATGAAAAAAATACATATAGAATAATAATAATAATAATAATAATAATAATAAAATTCTTTATTATAAACCTTATTTTGACCTTAAACCTTGAAAACAAACGTTTAGAGCGTAAAAACCCCAGATCATAATCATTTTATAAATAAATAGGATGTGTGTGTGTATATACATAAAATAATTACTCTGAACAGGTTTTTATGTAAATAAATAAATAAATAAATAAATTTTAAACTATTTAATCATTAATAATAATAATATTTTTTTTAATTATTAATAATTTTTTTCAGTTTAAATAAAAAGTGAAGTGAAGTGAAGTGAAGTGTAGTGAAAGTGAATCCCCTTTTTTAAATAAGTTTAATCAACATAATCAAACGTCACCACCACCACCACCACCACTACTACCAATGCAACTAGCAAGTCAACTTTTGGGAGTAGAAAAAAAAAAAATTGTGAATTAGAAGAAGGGAGGCAACTGGAAATCAATTAAGAAGAAAATATTTAAGTAGTTATTCAAAGTCATACAACACAATCGCACGTTTTTTTTTTTTTTTTTTGTTTCCATATCTTTTGAGGATTATAACAAACAAAAAAAAAGGTAATTAAACAATTTGCTCATCATCATCATCATCATCATCATCATCGTTCATTTTTTTTTTAAATGTATTACGATACCGTAAGTTACATAATTTCATTTTTTGTCTTTGTGCGTGCTTTTAAACAAAACAAAACAAAAAAATTCTTCATAATCTAACAGAAATTTTTTAAAAGTAAATTAAGTGATTTTATTATTATTATTATTATTAAATAGTTGCGTGTTAAATTGTCTATTTAAAAACAAACAAAACAAACAAACAAACAAACAAATTTTTTTTATAACGTTTTCCCATTTTAATTTTCGTTTTTTTTTTTTTATTAAATGCGAAAATTTTAATTACGTACGACATTAACGGACAAAAAAGTAAATATTTATATAAAACACGTGTTTTATTATTATTATTATTATTATTATTATTATTATTACCTTTTTTTTTTTTTATTAATCGCTTTTGAGCTTATCACAATTTTTTTTTCACGTCTTTAACATTAAGAAACAAAATTTTTTTTATTACGTACAAACAACATATAAGTAAAAAAAAAAAAAAGGTTAGTTAATATTAATAATAATAATAATAATAATAAGTAATTTTTTCGTTATTTTTTTGATAATACAGCAGTAATTATTATTATTATTATTTCACGTAATTTTTTTTTTATTTTATTAAGTAATACTACCGATATAGATGATAATTAGATGTTTCGATTTCTTTTTTTTTTTTTTTATTTCTAACGCAATTTATTCGTTACATAACATATTTATTTTGCAAACAAGTTGAAATCTAGATTCCGTAATAATAATAATAATAAACCAACTTTAAAACTACCTAACGTGATTATTATTATTATTATTTTAAATATAAATAAAATGCGTAATAATTTAAATGTTAAAGCCTCTCAAAAAAAAACATATAGCTTCGTGTTAATCGTTAATAGTTTCGTTTGAATATCATTATCATTATTATTATCATTATCATTATTATTAATTTTGATTTGCAGTTTGGATAGAATGACATGGCTACAATGTTTGTATATTGTTTTATTTTATTTAATTTCATCGCGGCTAACGAACTCATAATTGATTTAACAAACGTTTCAAATGTGAATAATAATAATAATAATAATGAAACGTATAAATCCGATTACGAATTACTATCGGCTGTGATTTATAATAATAATAATAATAATACGTCGTCGTCGTCGTTGGATAAAATAAAAGAATATGAAAAAATCGACGAATATAATTTACGTGTTTCGACGACGACGACGACGACGACGACGAGTGTCGCCGATATTATACCATCTGAAAAAGAATATAAACATCCATGCGAGAGACCTTGCAAAAAAGGCAAGTTAATGACATGTAAATATAATTTCGTAATAGAATATTACAGTGTTATGGGTAAAGGTTGCGTAGATTGTCCTTTTAACAAAAGTCATTGTTCTTTGAAAAATTGCATACCCGGAGATGGAATTAAAAGAACCGTACTCGTTGTTAACCGTCAAATGCCCGGTCCGAGAATTGACGTTTGTCACGGTGACACCGTAGAGGTCAAAGTAACAAATAAATTGATGGATATAAGCACGACAATACACTGGCATGGGATATTGCAAAAGGAAACGCCGTACATGGACGGTGTACCACACGTATCCCAATGTCCTATAGGACCCCAATCATCCTTTTTGTATAAATTTTATGCCGACTCTCCGGGTACGCACATTTGGCACGCACATTCCGCTTTTCAAAGAGGAGATGGTATTTACGGTGGTTTAGTAGTTAGAGTTCCGCCGGAGGAAAATCGTCATTTGTCATTGTACGATTTTGAATTATCCGAACACGTGTTTACCGTTATGGATTGGACGCATACATTTTCCGCTGATAAATTTTCACTTCATATACACGGTGCAAAAGACAATCAACCTTCGACCCTTTTAATCAATGGAAAAGGTCGTTTTAAAAAATTTCAAACGGATAATAATATTACTTATACGACACCCGTGGAAATATTTACCGTTAAACAAGTGAGAACAATTAATAATAATAATAATAATAATAATAATATAAAGCTAATAAACGTACATATATGTGAAACGTAAATTTTTCTTTCTTTCTGGCAGGGGTATCGCTACAGATTTCGTTTAATGAATACAGGTTTTTTAAATTGTCCGATTGAAATGTCCATCGATGAACACAACATAACCGTTATTTCTTCGGATGGAGAAGATTTACAACCCGTCGAAACGGTTTCGCTGGTGTCACTCGCTGGAGAAAGATTTGATTTCGTCGTTGAAGCAAATAACAAAAAAATCGATAATTACTGGATAAGATTTAAAGGTTTATTAGATTGCAAATTTAAAGAAGCTTATCAAACGGCCATACTCCATTACGATGGGGCAGATATTGATAAAGAACCTGATGGCATTGTAACATACAAAACGGCAAATCGTACAGGTTTGGTAAGTTAATTAAACTTGGACTTTTCCAAACGAATGCAAACGACGAGGAGAAGGAAAAAAATTAAAATTTTATACATTTCCAGCAAGTCAATAAAGTTAACAGTAGAGGCGGTCATGAAAATTATTTAATAATATCCGAATTATCCAGTCTTCCAGATAAATATCAAGATCCAGCATTAAAACCCGAACCGGATTTTCGTTTTTATATTCCTTTTGATTTTTATCCATTAGATTCGGATTACGAATATGGACCTTATAGATTTCCAGGTACTCAAAGACCTGGAACTCCGCAATTAAATCACATATCAATGGAATTCCCATCTTTTCCGATAATGACGGATTTGGAAAAGAGTAAACATTTAAAATTTTGTAATTATTCATCCGTTAGCATGGAGTGTCGTTTTAAACATTGTCAATGCATACACGTTTTACAAGTTCCTATTGATTCCGTTGTCGAAATCGTACTCATAGACGAAGGTACGTACGTAACCTTTTTGAAAAAGGTAAAAAAAAACTACATCCATAATACATAATTTCTACTCTTTTAAGGTCTTCCATACGATGCAAATCATCCTTTTCATTTACACGGTATTAAATTTAGAGTTTTGGGAATGGATCGTTTGGGTAATAATACGTCAGAGGATTTAGTTAGAAGATTAGATAAAGAGGGATTACTCAAACGAAATTTTATTAATCCACCGATTAAAGACACTGTAACGACACCCGATGGTGGATATTCGATTCTACGATTTCACGCAATTAATCCAGGTACCGCCTTGCCATTTTCCATAACAATTTTCCAATTTTATAATTTTAATATTTCATATTTAAGGTTATTGGATGTTTCACTGTCACATCGACTTTCACGTTGAAATGGGTATGGTGCTCCTTTTTAAAGTAGGCGATGAATCCATGTTTAAATTACCACCGGATAATTTTCCAAAATGTGGTGATTACGTTCCCACACCGGAAATTTTAAATGAAAATCAAGCACAATTTTTTCCAAAATTTTCATTTCCTAATGGTAAAGACTATTATATGGTACACACATCCAAAGGTTATTCCGAAATAATCAATAATAATAATAATAATGCATTTTCCTTATCAATATGTCTTCTCTTATCACTATTATTAATACATAATGTATAATTCATTTTAAAAAAAATATATATTTATTATATATACATATATGTATACATATAAAATATTACAAAAAAATTATTTTAAAACAATTTATACAATTATATATTACAAGTCTTGTTTTTTTTTTCGTTAAAGAACATTTAATTTAAAATTTATATTTAGCTCTTTTTACTATGAAAAATTGTGATTAAATTTTTTTTTTTTTTTAATTATTAACTACCATTTTACCAGTCTTATAAAAAAAAAAAATTATAAAAAGAATTGTTTTGTTTGTTTGTTTGTTTGTTCGACAACAGTATAACAATAAGTAATGATATTTTATTTACATTGTACTCATTTAACTTAGAAAAGATAAAATTATATAAAAATATTATTTTCGAGTAAAATAAAAAAGAATGAAGGTAAGTTTGTGGTTGTTTGGGGATAAAATCTGAGCATTTATTATATATTTATTTCTGATTAATTTCATGGATTTCATGTTCTTCGGATGGTGGCCCCAATTCCAATATGTTAAAAATAGCTTTCGATTGTGATGATCTCATCAAAGGATGACCGAGGAATTGTGCAAAATTAGAAAATATTTTAGGAGAATCATTAAATTTAACTTTTAAAAAATAACCTTTTCCATTTTCATTTAAACTGCATAAATATTGTGAAATGTTTTCAATGCAATTATTTTGTAATGTGTCATCGTATAAATATAATATGTCTAATGCAAAATACGAACTCATCATGAGATAATTATACGGATTTGTATTCTCCATGGTGGGAATGAATAAATTACGACCGAATAACCACAAAACATGGTAGACCCAATTAAAGGGTATACATTTATTATGATTATCAGGATCAGGTAGTTCTGCTAATGAAGCTATGTTATTAAAAACTTTATCTATTTCCAATGGTTTGATTTCATCATCATATTCGATATTTTCGACAAATTTCAAAGCTGTTTGTATGTCTTTTATACTGTTAATATTGAAATGAATAATGGATGCATTTCCCGTTATGAGAAGACATTCGAATTCCGGGGATTTGACGCATATTTTTTTTTTTAATACAAAATATGATTTTAACAAATTGAATATGTTTAAAATGGAATTGTCACTTTTTGACATAAGTAAAATATCAATGCAAAAAATTATTTTTTCAGTTACCAAACTTTGAGGAAATTCGGAATCATCTTGAAAATTATTACTATTGAATTCGGATCCTGCTGTGGCTTCTTCTGCATAATCAATTAAACCGTCTCCCATTTTTTTTTTTTTTTTAAATCGGTTCTAAAATAATAATTATATAATTATTAATAAAAAATCAAATTATGATTAAAAAAAAAAAAAAAAAAATTTCAAGTGCCAAGTGCCTTCGTCATGTATACCTATTTAAAGTTTTCTATTTATTAGAAACTATATAAAATTAACGGCTTTTATTTAGCAACACTTTGTTCACAAGCACAATTTTAAATGTTTCAATAATTAATTTAAACAAATATTATCACTCACAAAAAAATGCAATTCATATTCACGAGAGGCTAATAACTACCGGTTTTTTAACGTGGCAGTAGAAAATGAATATGGCGGAAACATCACGCGCGCGTGACTCGCCATAATTAATAAGTTTGGAAAAAAAATGGCCAACGAATTATTATTCGTTTAAATAAAAAAAAAAACAATTCGATCGCTTAAAAAACATTATTTATTCGTCATTATTATATTTTATTCAAATTTTTTTTTCGTGCAAAGAAAAAAATTAAAAACAAATAACATATATATAAAAATTAATAATTTTAATTTTAAAAAAATTTCCCTAGTACAAAAAAAAAAAAAAACTTGTAATAAAGAATTTTCTCAATTTTTAATTACTTCTTCAAAAAAACAAGAAGAATACAAAAATAAGAATTAAATAATAAAAAAAAAATCAATTGTAAAATTATACTAAAAAATAATAACTTATTAAAATTTATTATTATTAAAAAAAAAAAAACATCATCATCATCATCATCATTTCATTTTTTTTTTCCCCCCAATAATTCATTTTAAAACGTTTCGTCATATTTTATTATATTGAATCGAGTATCAATAATATATAATTTAATATCGAATTCAATTTTCATTATATACTGTAATAATAAATAAATAAAATATTTATTATAATTAAAAAATGTATAAAAATTAATTTTTCTAAATTTTCGTTGTTTAGCGAGCAGTGCTACCAATTCATTTGCTAAACATTTCAAATATTATTTTACTTCCCATAAAATTATCACAAAAAAAAAAAAAAAAAAATTAACGGTCAAAAACGGTTTTTCTTCCAAATGTAAATAGAAAAAAACAATTATTATTCTTATTACATAAGTTATTGACATCTATTTTTTAATTATTTCGATTTATTTCCGTAGTAAAAAAAAAAAATATATATATATATATATATATATATAATAATAATAAACCCAACAATAAATTATAGTACGTCATCGTTACAAAATCCTTTCGTAAAATAACAAGTAGGCTTTACTGCTTAAAACGTTTTCTTCGTCGACTTCCGAAGTGCAAGAATCGCTCACGTAATACCATTTCCCAGGAGGAGGAGATAATTTCCCGCCCACGGCGCCATTTTGATGAGAGTGATCCAGGTAGTTATTTTTAATTTGAGCAGCCAAGTTACCGTGAGCACCTTTGGGTAGAAAAGACCAACGAGGATCGTCCGGTTTCATGGGGGGCCGAATTTTTATGTAAGCGACGTAGTGACCCCTGTGAAAAGTACCCATGTGTTCGACAACCCCGTAGAGTGAGTATAATATTTCATTTTGATTTTTTTTTATCGTTGATCCGTTCTGAAATACAAAAAAATTTGCTTTTTTTGTTATACCAAGAAAAAAAAAAAACTGTAAAAAACAAAATTTTATATTAAAATCCAAAAATTTACTTTGCATTTTGTAGAGCAATATGGAGCAAGATCTAAAATCATGGGAAATTTCACTTCGCGACATTTCTTTTTGAAAGTGCATCGTAAAACTTGAAATCTTTTTAAATGAAGGATGAGTACTGCCGGAGGACTGCATACCAATAGCTGTTTGGACGTGTTGGTGAGTACAGTTTTACCTTCTTTACCTGTCGTAATAATGATAAAATGAAGTGAAAGTAAGAAATTTCAATTATTGGTCAGTAGTGGGTACATCCAAGTACCACCTACCGTGATTCACTCGTTTTGTGCATGCCTCGCATCCAACTTTATTATTCCCAGTCATTAATTCTCTAGCCGTGAACTGATTCAAACACGAATGAATCGTACATTCCCCCGAATTTTCTCCGCATACTCTTTGACCTAACGTACCGTCGGCAGATCCACCATAATCGTCACCGTCTTCATCCTCGTCAACTTTGTCGTACAAGCTTGCATTACTATTATTATTATTTTCTTCTTTATTGATGGGTTCGAATAACAATTTACCAATTCCGTTTTCCAGTCTTGTCATTTTATCGCTTTCACTGTTATTATCAGTCCTGTTAATATCCTCAACATCGTTACTTTTACACTGAATTTTTTCCGTTGTGGAATTTACATTACTAACAGACGGGAGATTTAATTCTTCCTGTTCTACACCTGAACTCGTTTTGTTCAATTTAATTTCAGAATCCAAATCCTGGCCGTTGGAACTTAAACGATTATCTAAATGAGCTTCTGATGATGATGTTACGGAGGAGGGTTGACAAGTTATTGATAAGTGATTTCCCGGAGAAGAGATCAAATTTTCTTTGGATAATGAATTACTTGGCATGGTTAAATCCAAAATTTGATTTGATGCATTATTAGAAACGTTATTCTTATTTATAACAGGACTAGCTAGAGCAGAATCACGATTAAAATGTATATTTGTCTCCGACGAAGGACTACCGCACGCTGAATCTCCGTTAAATGGTTTTTCCGAGCTATATCCGGATTCGATAACATCTTGATTTTGACTAATTTCCGGTTCTACGTTATCTTCAACATCGGCATCACTCTGATCCTGATTGTCTGAATCACTAGAATTTCTAGAATTGTTTTCTTCAACATTTGCATCTCCTGCCGCATTCGAAGGTACGTTTTTATGCCTTAATTTTCGATTTTTGGCAGCTGCCTTTCGTTTCATTTTAAGCTGATGTTTCGAAGGGGGTGAATTTATATCGCCTCCATCATCATAAGATTTCGATCTGATGTGTACCGGTTTATCCGCCATAACGGGTAAACTTAAATCAAGAAAACTTTCAACGTGATCTGATCTATTATGACATTCTTGACATTCTAATGTGCTAACTAAAAACCCTCGAAAAACTTGCTCAGGCCTAAGTAACAATTCGTTTGCCTGTTTTCCATATGCTTTGACTTTTCTTCTTAGTTCATCCGTTATATTGTCTCTTTCACTTTTTTTGTCTAAATTCAAAGTTTCAAGAATGGCATGCTTGTAACGCTGTAGACAAATAAATTTTTCAATTTCATTAAAATTGATTAAAATTATCAACATACAATATCGCAGAAAACGATTAGGAGAGGCTGGATAATTTTAAAACTGACCTGTAAATCTTCAGTTCTAACAATTTCGAGTAATTGTCTAAGTAATTCATGAGAATCATGTTGTCCAAAACCGACAAACTGAGGACATTTTAAATGTAATTGACATAAAAGCTTTCGAGGTTGAAAAACTTCACTTTTACCAGACTGGATTTCGAAAAGAGTATCAGCCAATATTTGTGTAACTTGTCCCCATCCTTTTAAAACTCCCTCCAGTGGTTCCTAAATAAAATGAAAAAAAAAAAAAAAAAAAAAAAAATTAAATTTAGTATTGTTACATTTAAGCAAAATATCACTGAAATCGTAATCCCTTGACATGTTTTACAAACCAAAGTTTCCTTTTCTTCCCCGAAATTTATCTCCCCTCCAGGCAATTTAAATTTTTCACCTTCTTCTTTCATTTCTTCCAAAATTGAAAGTAAAAATGGTGTTTGAGACAAACATTGTAGAACTGCATTAAAAAAACATGTGTTTCCTAAATTGCATAGTCCCTGAAAAAAAAAAAAAACAATGTCATAACTAACTAACATAAAAATGTAATTAATCAAATTATCATGTGTTAATTGTATTTTATTTGTTTAAATGACTCACCCTAGCTTTTGGTAAAGAATCTAAAAAACTATTATGTTGAGGAACATAAGATTCAAATCCTGGCGGATAAACCGCAGAATCTGAACCTTTAACAGGCCTAGATAATGAAAAATTTACAGAAGGTTTTTCTTCGACAAATCTTTCGACTGGAGGTGTTCTACTATCCATAGAATTAGATGCTAAAATTTTTTTAACAAATTCATAACATTCTAATAGCTTTTTAGAAGCATTTGAAGGTATTTCTACATCACATTTATAACACCTAAATTAAAAACAGTTGAAAATTTATTTGTCAAAATATTTAGGTAATTTTCATTGAATAAGAATAAAGTAAAGACTCACCATACTGTCCATATTGTTAAGTTAAGAGCAAGATCGTGAACATCTGATTTTCGATTTATTGAATGCTGTTCAGCGTGCTTGCTTCCACTACCACACCCGCAGTGACCACATTTTAAACACATAAGCAAAGCCCAGTTTTCATTTTCTACTTCTGAGGTACTATTACTGTTAGTTTTACCTTTTGCACAACCGTTGCATGTTAATGGAAAACCATCAGGTTTTAATGCTTTTTTAACACCAGGTAAATGAATGGCGTTTTTAGCATGTGGACAATTAACAGCTACAATAAATATACATGATATTACATAAACTTAATAAAATCATAAAATATTAACTTTTCATATAAGTACTAATTTAAGCACCTATCGTTTTTTTTTGATTTTCTTCAATTGAGTCAGACGAATCCTCATTTTCTATCGAATGGTCTGCTTGTCTTTTTTTCCTGCCCATTCTGCACTAAACTCAAGTAAAATAATTCAATGAAATAAAAAATTAAATTCACATTTTTTGAAAAATCTTGTGCTTAAGTAGCTTTAAAAAGAAAAAAATTTATTAATACATAAAGACAACCTCATGGTAAAACAGTCACACCATTTTGAATTTAAAACCAATGACTTCTCAGATGAGTAATAAGGCACAGTTATTATGACGTAAATTTAGTAAAAAGCCCTCCTAATTAATCTAATGCCACGTTTAAAATTACCGCCATAACGTTATAGAACAGTATAGAACATTCTTTGTGAATTTCAACTTGCTGATTCGTTTCAATTAAAATAAAATTAAAGTTTTTGCTTTTTCGGTTTTAAAAATGTAATCTTTTGATAATAAATGTAAAATAGAAGTAGTTTATTAATATTTTAATGTAAAAACTACAGAAATATTTATTATTTCTGAATTATATGAACAAATGGTTTTTGACAAGCCGTTCGAACCTTCTAGAAAAAAAAATGGTAATGTAAAATGAAATTTTACTGATACTTAAAATCTTTGTAAACTTGTAATTTATAAACATTTTAAAGGAATATACTATTATTAAACTATATACTATATTATTATTATATACTATAATAATATAATATAATATAATATATAGGAATTATTAGGGAATTATATAGGAATTATTAAGAGTCAAAATCAATGTCAGAATAATAATTTTTATTTAACAATTTATATACAAAAGTTATTTAACAATAAATTATACAGTCATTATTTCAATATATACTTTACTATATAACTGCCAATGTCATGCAAATATGAAAATCAAGATTTTTGATACAATTCATTAATTTAAAACATAATACAACTTTTAACATGATTTAGACATTGAATTACAGTAAGTTAATATTGAACAATATTATACATTTTCAGACAGAATAAAAATAACAATTTTTAATAATAGTTATAATAAAATAGCTTTTTGTCTCTTAAAATGTTTAGAGGGCTTTGCAAAAATCTAATAAAAGCAAACTTCATATATCATTCATTTTTCAACATCTTTGATCGAACATGATTTGCATGAATTTGAATATGTTTTAACCACAATCATTTTCAGTTCTTCTTTTATTGTGTTTGCATTTTTATATCATGCTGAGGATGACATGCAATTTTATAAATTATAAAAATTTTTTAATAACTTGGTCCTTCATACTTCTAATTTAAAAGCTATACTTTTAATATTTAATATGAATAGTTTTAGATATATTATGAAGTAAGTATTTTTTTAAAGAAGAGTTAATATTGAAAAAACTTAAAAATGTTTCAGCTAGTAGAAATATATTTTTTAGATTTTTATTGTATGTTACTGAAACCTTTATGTAATTTTATTTGCCTTATAATTTAAATACTGTGCACATAATTGTATATAAGAAATAATTAATTAAATTAAATTAAAGAGAGAATTAAAGAGAGCTTTTGGTTACTAAAAAAGTGTCTTAACCTACAATTAATGGATAATTTTACTTTTCATAATATAATCAAAATTTTATGTAAAAATGTTTGATTGCATAACATGGCGGTAGTCTTTTTTTTACATTTTATACATTACAAATACAATAATTTACTAATTTTTTTTTTAGAGCTGATGTTTAAAAATAAAATTACAACAATATTAATATTTTAATTAATACTTTACTACGTACAGTCTTTTTTGCTTTATTTGTTTTTTTTTAATAGTAATTTTTTAAACTCGTGATATGTGATGCATACTATGTCCTACTATTCGCGGTGGTACTTTTTTTGGTGACACAAAAAGTCTGCTCCATGCTCGACATGTTTTTCCTGACCAAACCCACATTCCAGAAGTGACGCCTACTACCAACGATAAGAATAAGCGTAAGAGAGCCATTTCGACTCCGGCTGTCCTGTATGAAGGCCCTGGTTCACAACTTGGATCTATTCTACAATCTAATGCCGCTAAGAGTGCTAAAGACCGCCATCTAGGTCTGTGCCAGGCTTCATATATTAAACATGCTAAATATCCAATGGCTGGCAGAACATAAAGTATGGCAAATACACCTAATCTTGTCATAAGTCTTTCAAGTTTGCCCGTGCAACGACCTGCCGATTGCATGGTTCTTCTTACTCGAATTAAAGCAGCAGCAGCAATGGTTGCTAAAACGCAACCGGCTGAAAGCAATACAGCTTGTGGCACTACCAGAAATGCTAATACATCACTATCAGATACCTAAAAAGAAATTTTTTTTTGCAGTAATATGAACAATTTAATTTGAACTTAAATACAAAAATTTATTTAATTGCATAAGTAAAACCTACCTGGCAAAGACCAGTTAATTCATCTCCGGCTATTCTTCGCAGAGCTAAAGCAACAATTCCAAGGACAGCTGGACCTGTCCAAGCAGCCACGTGAAAGTATGAAGCTAAACCATGTAAAGCTTCACTAGACCATTTATTGGCTGCTGACAAAAACCAGGAAAGTGCTAAAATAACCCACCAAATGCTGGATGCAAGTGCAAAATAGTAGAGTGATAAAAATGCTAAAGTACACGGCATACTTTGCATGCCATCGACAGCTATGTAGGATTCTCCATTTTCCACATGAACACAGCTAAAAGTACTTGGTCCGAGAGCACCTCTGAGTATATATGTTACACCGATTAAACAATAGCACAACGCCAAAAATATTACTGGACGTTCCGGATATCGAAATCTGGATGGCTCTACCCAAAACGTTAGCAGAGTGAAAGAAGTTGATAAGAAACACAGCCACGCCCAACCAACCATCCATTTTTCTGCAAAAAGTTTATCTTCTTTTCTGTAATATGCATCCTTTCCGCAATTCGGACTGCACGTTACTGAAGAAAATTCCATAGTTTGAACAAAATTTGGTGGACATTGCATCATAACCGAATCTCTTCGTACGTTATTATCAAGCCACGTTGGAACAGACAAAGCTTTACTATTTTCAGTGCTTTGATTTCCCGAGATGCAATATCCGTTATATACAGGAAATCTCGAACAGTTCAACAGTGAAGGCCATGGAAATTCAAACTGATCTATAACTGGTTGACAATCTCCTTGTATTCTTTCACAAAATCCTCTGCACGGTGGTATTGCACCTTTAATTTGTTCAGAACACATCGGCGTTAAAACAGCACAAAGAAACTGTCTCAAATGCTTGGAACAGTTGTAGTGAACCAGTGGCATAAACGTACCCAACTGAAATCAAAAATTTGACAATAATTAAATCATTCTCATTCATTTTTTTTAAAGATACTACATAAAATAACAAATCGAAACTTTATGTAAGATTGATGCTTGGCGGTTTTTCTTTTTTTTTTTTTTAAATTAAACTTGCCACACATTTTTTATTAATGAGTTTTTAAAAAAAAATACATGTGACTTTTTTTTTTTTTTTGTGAGTAATAAAAAAAAACAACCGGCCATATAATTTATATTTTATCAGCGGCATGAATACAACAACAAAAAAATCTTTCATAAAACCATTTCCTGTAAAAAACTCATACATAAAAATATTAAAAAATATACCGCAAAGATAAACTTAAACGGACAAGGTACATAAATTTCGGACTAAATTTAGAGATAATAGTCAAGTTTTTTCTTTTTTTTTTTTTTTTTTTTTTTAAATACGCAAAGCTTTTCATTTAAACTACATTTCAGAAAAAAAAAAAAAACAGGTTTATAGTTAAAAAAAAAAAAAAAATATCACGATTTAAAAATAAATAATAATAATAATAAAATGTTTTTTTTTTTTTTTTAGATTTCTTTTTAACTAAATGTGGGAAACGGAAGGTTTATTAGTCGGAAAAAAGAAGAAAAAAAAAAAAAAAAGTTTTTATGATGTCTGCCACCACAAATCAGTTTAAGAGTCATTTCGTGATTCAAACAAAAAAAAAAAAATCGTGAAGAACATGTTTCAACAGGCACAAAACCTTTTTAATGTGAGTACAACAAAACCTTTTTCGATTAATTAAAAAAAAAAAAAAAATACTTTATAGTAAAAACTAAACTGCAAAATTTTTAAACTAATATCACTCATTTGTTAAATTAAGTATAACAACAAATTACATGACCAAAATAATAATAATAATAATAATAATAATAATAATAATAATAATAATAATAATACCGGTATCTTTTTCTCTCACAAACGTAAGTAATAAAACAAAATAAATTAAAAAAAAAAAAAAAATCTCCATGCGGTTACGCCTAATAAAATTTATTGTTACGTTTCTTAGAACCATAAAATTCCCCCATTTTGTTCGTATTCGGTTTCCTTACATAAAAAAAAAAAAAAAATAATTTCAAACGTAACTAATTCAAATAATTACATAACCTTTTTTTTTTTTTTTAAAAAAAAAAAAATTTTAAATTAATAAATCAATAGTCATTTTCCTTTTTTTCTGAACAAATATTAAATAAATAAATACGTTAATAAAATACTTAGGTTTGAAATTATAAGAAATGAAGTAAATGTGGCGCCAAAAAAAAAATTTTTTAACGAACAAAAAAACTAATTTCGAACGTTTCGTTAATTTAATATATATCGTAAAAAAAAAATAATAATAATAATAATAATAATAATAATAATAATAATAATAATAAAAATGTTTAATTTATTTCTTCCTCCGTTTGGTTTTCTTTTTGCCAAGCCTTCATCGGACATCACTATTGAAATGATTAAGTGAGTTTTTATTTAATTATTATTATTATTATCATCATCATCATCATCATCATCATCATCGTTATTGTCTATTTTAACGCGGAGAGAAAACTTTGTGTAAAGATTTTTATCGGTGGATTTTAAAGGTTAGAGATTTTGGAGTTCGTGGGTACTCTTAGCAAAAAACATCTAGAAATAATCAGTTATTAATTTATTATTATTATTATGGTCACTCTTAAACACGACAAGGCTCTTATTTGTCCGTGATTTTTAAGCATTTATTCCAGGTTTCTACCCGACGATTCCTTAGGGATAACTGCACTAATTTCGGTGGTGCTATTTATATAGTATCCCGAAGAATGTGAGCCGTCCCCACATAGTGCGATTTCCTGGATGGTTTCATCTTCTTTTAGGTTCTTCAAAATCTTCTTTAAATTTTCTTTTATTGAATGTGGCATGCCTAATTATTATTATTATTTTAACTCATTCGTACGTAGCTTAATATTTCCCCCCCCCCCCGATAAATAATCATTTCCGGTTATTTACATAAGACAAACAAACAAACAAACATAAATGCTACCGATTTAACATTAATTTTTATGTTTGTGTTTGTATAAACGAAGGCGGTTTTCGACTTAAACAGAGAGAGAGAGAGAGAGAGAGAGAGAGGGGGGGGGAACATAAAAGAAAAAATTTTAACCACAAATAAACAAAAATTAAATACTAATATTTACAATCATCATCATCATCATCATCGTATTATGTTATTGTTTGTGAATGAAAAACAAAAAAAAAAAAGTTTTAACCGAAAAGAAAAGTTAGATTTTTAATTTTTAAAAATAAATTACTGTTCATTCATTTTTATTTTTACTATAGAAAATATTGTGACGAAAACGTTCTAGAAAAATCAGTGGAAAAAAGAAAATTAGATTGTTTTATTATTATTATTATTATTTTTAAAAATTGTTTTTTTTTTTTTTTTTAATAGAAAACACAAATGAGTTCTTAGCCACAAAATTTAATAGGAAACGAATGACGAATTTTTTTTTTTTAATAATCTTTTCTACTTTTAAATAACTTTTTTTTTTTTTTTTTTAGTTTTTAATTAAATTTTTTTTCTTACTACTATTATTATTATTATTATTATTATTTTGAAATGTTACTAAGAAGTTTTTATTCACTTAATAATAAGCTGTGTGAGTAAAAATTTTCGCGGTTTTTTGCGTTTTGATTTTTTAAACTAAAATTTTTCTTTTTATTTTTTTTCAGTTACGTTTCTACACTAAGAGAATGTAATGTGGAAAAATACGTTAAGGAGGCTGTTAAATAACAAAACTTTGGTGAGTTTATCCATTTTTTTTTTTTTTTTTTTTAATCGAAAATGAGTACTTCGGAGAGTAATTTTATATATAACGATCGGCGTGTATAATTATAATCAAAAACATAAACGACATTTTGAAATCGTTACAAATGAATACCTAAAACCAAAAACCAAAAACAATCAACAAAACCGTGTTTAACGATGACAAAATGTAGAGAAAAAAGTCCCCCCCCCCCCCAATTGACCTTTTTGTAATGTGACGTGACGTGTTAAATCTTTTTTCTTAGAAAATTCGTTTTTTTTTTTTTTTTTTTTACGAAAATTTTTAAAAACAAAATTAAAAATCTCACGGAAAAGTTTTGAAACAAATTCCATCACGCATAAAAAATTTATTTGACGATATTAAAACGCAAATCGAAAAAACTCGATTCTTCCATTTGCAATATTTTCAATATATTCTTTTCGAAAAAAAAAAAAAAAAAACAAATCAATAGATTTATTATTATTATTATTATTTCGTTCTTTTGTAATTCACAATCGAATGTATCGATCGATTCGATAATTTTTATCGAATTTAAAAGACATCGAGAAATTTAACGAGTATGAGATTTAAAAAATTTAAGACATTTGATGAGTATCAGAAAAAGTAGAATAACGAATTTTTTTTTTTTTTTTTAAATTTATTTAATTAAATAAATTCTTCTTCGTTTTATTTCGACATAACGTTTTTTAAATTTATCACGAGAGTGTGTGTTAATGTTTTTTTTTTTTTTTTTTTTATTGAGATTAAAAGCGGTAACTTTGGCAAAAAGGTCATCCTTTCAATTACAATTTGACTATAATAAAGAAAAAGGCGTTAAAAAAAAAAAAAAAAAAATTATCCCTACTATCTTTTTATTGTATATTAAATTTTTTTTACCTGTTCTAACACGCACTCAAACATTATTCTTACTTTTTTTTTTTTTTAATGACGGTATTCTTTGTATTAAAAATTTACCTCCTCGTCGTCGTGGATTCGAATTTTTTTTTTGGGGGGGGGGGGGATTTAAATAATAAAATTTAAATTAGTCGTAATAAAAAAAAAAAAAAAAACACTTTTTTCTATAAATAACCATAAACTAAACGCACACGCACAAAATTTTATTGTAGGTAATATTTGATATTTTTTTTTACATTTTAATACTACGGTAATAAAAAAGTAAAATTAATTACGACTTTTCCATCTTTGTGTTTTTTGGGGGGGGACAGGGGGGAATATCATGGTAATGATAATTTTTTATTAGGCCACACGTAATTAATTGCAGAAATTTTTTTTTTTTCATACAAAATTCTATAAAACGATACCTTAAAAAAAAAAAAGTGTTAAAAATTTTTTTTTAAAACTATTAAAATAATAAAAGGCTTGCGGCTGACATTAAATGAATTCACATGAGCAATTTTCGTTTTTTTTTTTTTTTTTTTTTTTAATACAAAGGTTAAATATAAGCGTACAATATTAAAGCCTAAGGTTTTTTTTGACACCGAGTCGGTTTTATTATTAAAAAAAAAAATCCTTTACAATCATTCCCGCAATTTCAATCAAAAGAACTAAAAAAAAAAAAAAAGGAAGGAAAAAATACGAGGATCAAAAAGTTAGTAAAAAAAAAAAAAAAAAAACCCCGAGAGTTTGAAAATCAAAAGAGAAAACCTGTAATTACGACCAGACAACTCTAATTTATTAAAATTAAAGGTATATTAGGTAGAACAGGTACAGATGTTTCAACTGACTGGCTCGTAAAAAAAAAACTGCCATGAAAAATTTTTTTTTTTTTTTTTTAAGGCTCAAATGAATACTCAAAGACTACAAAAAAAAATAAAAACAATAATAAAAGAAAATGCATTTCATTTTTTGCAATTAAAATTTATTTAATTTTTTTTTTTTTGGAACGATACGAAATTAAAAATTTGTTAAAAAATGGCGTTTGTGCGTGTGTGTGTGTGTGTGTGTGCGTGTGTATCGGGTACTACTAAAATTTATTACCGATATAAATTAATTGCTTTCGAAAAAAAAATTTTTTTTTTTTTTTCTTTCTTCCTTTTCAAAATTTTAATTTAATGCGTTACTTGTTGTTTTTGACCGTAAAAGCTTTAATAAAAATAAAATAAATTTAAACCGGGTAATCCATCAATTTTATATTTAAGTGCGTGCGTGCGTGCGTGTGCGTGTTAGGTCCATTTAAACATTAAATAATTTTTTTTTAAAATCGATTTTATAAGTTATATATTTATGCACGCCCATGTTGAAATTTTTTTTTTTTTTTTTTTTTATTATTTATAATTATTACACCTGACTGACATTTTTTAAATGACTTTTTTAACCAAAAAATAATAATAATAATAATAATAATTTTTTTTAACCATAAAATTACTCTCGAAGTGACGGGGAGGAGGGTGGGGGAGTGGGGGGGGGGAGGTAAACAAAACAAAATAATAAAATTGTTTTTATCTATTAATTGTCAAATCGGATTTTTTTTTTTTTTTTTTTCGTATGTTGGTACACGTCGATACCACAAAATATTGTTTTGTTTTGTTTTTAAACATTAAAAATCTCTCGTTATTATTATTATTATTATTGAATCTCATTTTAAAAAAATAGATATAGGAAAAAAAAAAAGTTGTTTTTTTTTTTTTTTGTTTCTAAAGAAAGTGATGTTTAATAATATCACGCGAGAATTATAAAACACGATCACGGTTTTGAATAAATTGCCCTGAGGTTAAAAAAATTTATGATTTTATTTTTTCTAAAGTGTGATATAGATTTTTTTAAATTCGTAACCAACTAATAATAATAATAATAATAATAATGATGATGACTTATACGAATGGATCATTCCACTTATCACAATGATAATATTACCTTTCACCAGGTAAACGATGAATCCCCTACCCGTCTCCTCTTTTGGAAAAATTTAACGTAACCGAAACAACACACCTTTTTTTTACAATAATTACAATCGTGGTGTGATTTTAAAGGATTAATTTTTTTAAAAATAAAAATAAAAAGGATGTAAAAGAAAAAAAAAAAAAATGGGTATTACTTTGTGATTGTGCACACATGACACACGTTAAGTTTTAATTAATGAACTTAAGAGTATTATTATTATTATTGCTTTTTTTGCGTACGATTTCAAAAAATATGTTTAAGTCCTTCGTTACCATCGTGTTTTAATTCCTTCTTATTTTCATTTACGAACGATTCCAACTTATTGTAATTTTGATTAACTTGTGTTATTGTTCTTATTTCGGTGCTAATCATTCGTTTTCAAACTAGAAATTTACCACTCGTTCCTAAGATTCCATTGTTAATGTAGAGTCTTCTTAAAATGGTACATTTTGATACCGGTAAAGAACACAAACAAAACAACAAAATATTTTGTAAAATGACGTTGTGTAAATTCGAATACGAAATGTTAAATGCAAAAAAAAAAATTTCAGTAGCAAAATCATTCTTTTTGATTTGATTTATTTTATACGATTGTAATTATTAATTTTAAAAAAAGTACAAAATCATTTGGCGTACGAAACAAATCTAAGGGGAAACAAAAGAAACACAAATTTAATGATTTTTTAATATTTTGTTGTTTTAGATTACATTTAAAGTGATTTTTAATACCGGATGGAATAAAAAAAAAAAAAAAAAAGGAACATGAGTATTTGAACGCAGCATTGGATGAAATTTCATGAAAATTAACCTCCACTGGTGAGTTTTATTTAATTATTTTTCTTAAACAATTTAAATGTCGAAAAAAAATGGCTTACCGCTCTTTCCGCTTGCGATTGATCCTTATGATCCATAAAATTAGGCAATGTTGTTAAATTATAACCTAAATTTTGACACATTGGGACAGTTATCCGTTCGCATCGATTGTGCCATCCGTGAGAAAACCATAACACATTTAAAAACAAACAAAACGGAAAAAATTTCATTTTAATTATTTTATATTTATTTATAAACAATTGCTAAAAAACAAATCACATCGTTTTTAAAAATGTATCGGAAAACAAAAAAAAAAACAAAAAAAAAAACAAAAAAATTTTAGTTTAGTTAACTCATATAAAAATAACTACGACCATCGTGTATCCTTCGCTCTAAAAGAAACTGTTAAGTAACAGCATCTGCTGGTTAGATGTTGATCTTCGCGGCCGCCACAAAACTTTCACACAAACCGCGCTTAAATAATTCTTAATTGATTTTTTTTTACCATATGAAAAACATTGAATTCGAGTTCAAGTAAAAATTTAAGGGGGACGGGTAGGGTATCGTAAAAAAACTATATTTTATTACTCCTCGGGTATATATTTTTATACTCATCTTAAATTTCCGGTGATTTTTTTTTTTGTAAATGTTTTCTTTTACCTTAAACTAAAAATGGAAATGTTTTTTTTTTTTTCGTACTTTGTATATATATTATATATAAAATGGGCGAGTACTTAGGTAGGAGGTTTTTTTTTTGTAAAACACAATTACAAATTGTGCCTTAAACTTCATTGTGTTTTACCGTATGATCATTATTATTATTATTATTATTATTTTGTAAAACATTTTTCCACACGGGGATTTTCTTTCGAACACTTTTTTTTTAAAAACGTAAACATTTCCGATTACTTACGATTACCAAACATTAAAGTATTAAAAAGCATAAATGTTAATCCACGTATTAAATTAATAATAATAATAATGGTATAAGAATAGGATTATATTTAGGATTAAATTAATTGCAATGGTAATAAAATAACCGCGTTATTATTATTATTATTATTATTATTATTATTATTATTATTATTATTATTATTATTATTATTATTATTATTATAAGTAAAACTAAGGAAATTAATTTCGAACATAAATGGATAGAAAAATTAATTTTAAATTTTAATTATTATTATGAAGAGTTATAGTTATTGTAAACGAATGAGGGGAGAGGGAGGGAGGGAGAAATAGAATCAATTTTTTTAAAGAGTGTAATTATAATTCTATGCGGCGGGTGGGGGGAAGGGGAGGTGGGGGAAATTGCAAAAATTTTACGTTGGAAACACAATGTGTGTAGTATTATTTACAAATGGTGGTAGTGTAGGAACATGGGTAGATTTTTCAGGAGCGTAGCCCACCTAAAACGATATTATTATAAACGCGAAGCGTTGAAATTCGGCATATCCTCATCGAATTCGTTTCGTCACGCATGACGGAATGTTGCTTTTAAAAAAAGATGAAAAAAAGATTGTTTTTATTATTATTATGTTTGGGGGCAAGCTAAGAATCGAATTGAGGTAGAGAAGAAAGAAAAAAAAAAAAAAAACGAAAGTTACATTGCAGTAAAAACCATCGGCATGTTGTAAACAAAGGGTCCCCGCCGGGTCTTGGGTAAAAAAACTCTCTTACCAGAAATAATGTACCATGAATTTGTTCAGAACAATTCACGATTATTTCTGCGCTTTCAGGTTTTATTTTCTTTTTTTTTTTAAAAAAAAAATCCTTTTTTTTCTTTTTTCTTTTTTTTTTTCTTTCTGAAAGACTCGTCTTAAATGTCAGATGTAATAACGCCCCATTTTTTTCGTTGTTGTTAAATTTTTTTTTTTTTTTTGTACGATTCAACTCGAATTGTTTTTTTTTTTTTTTATTTTTGATTAATACGTTTGAGATTTTGTCGGACGTGTAATTAAATATGACACTTTCTAACAAAAAAATTTATTATTATTATTATTTTATTACGTATATACGAAAAAAAAAAAAATTTTAATTAATTTCCCCCCCGCCGCCCCGAAAAAAAAAACTTTTTTTCGTATTCAATTAATTAATTGATTTTTTTTAATTAAGAAAATTATTTATTAATAGATTAATTAATCCGATGGTCGTATTTATTTATTTATTATTATTAATT